TGAAGTGATGCTAAAATAAAAGATCTGAACTAATTATGCTACGTTGACGACGTCGGCTGAGGTTCTTGTAGCCACATCTTTTATTCATCAGGACACACGAGACCGGAGGTACCGTGTCGTTCTTTCTCATGCTCGCTCTCAAATCTCATTTCAAACAGAACCCATTGAGCCGTGGAAGTGCATTCTGAATCACAATGACTTGTTTCTCTGCAGCAAGGAAACAACAGAGAGGGGCAGAAGGAGGGAGGGAAGGAGGGAGGGAGACAGAAAAAAAAACAGCGTCAGCATGGCAAATAAACAAACAGAAAAAGGGAAAAAGTCGAGTGGATGTCGTGCTGTGCTGTTGGGGGAGCGGGACACCAGACCGCCGTCAGTCCAACACTTGTGATGTCCACAGATCACTGACACAGGCAGTGAAGGCACAGACCGGAAAACAGACACTGACTCTGGGTCTCAGCAGAGGTCTGGGACTCAAACCACCTGTACTTGTCCTCCGTACTCCTGAACTTAAACCTCAGCCTCAGGGCGGGGCCACGATGTGGAGTCCACAAAATCAGGAACTCCATCCTCATCTCCTGAACCGACCAACAACTCGTCTGCCACACCTCGTTAGATGTTTGTGATGCTGTGGAAACACAGTGTGAAGGCCAGACTAGAGTTTTGTTTCCACAGGATCACAAACAACATTGACATGTTTGAACAACAGTGGGCGCTCACGAGGAGCTGTTGATCCAGGTGGCTAACAATGAACTGCCCAGGTTTTTTAATGAGTTTGTTGACGGTAACTGTGTGTTTTATAGTTTTACACCAACTGTAAACAACGTTTTTTTAATTCTACTTTACCAGGTGACTGGAAATTAACTAAAATTTGAACGGCTCCTAAATTAAAATGAACTAAAATTTGAATGGCTCCTAAATTAGTTTGTAAATTGCCCTTTATTTTAAGGATCAGTTTTAGGTTTGTCCTAATGTCAGAATGTGTTGTGACAAAAGACAAACAGAGTTTTGTTTTGTTTGTTTTTTTCCACAGAAAAGTTGAGAAAAGACAGATTTAGGTGCAGGGAAGGAAGGAAGCTGTTGGTAAATACTCAGAGGATGGAGAGAGAAAAAAGGCGAGTTTAAATGATTGAGCAGGGGAGACATGAGCAGGCGAGGGTTCAGTGCACTCCAGGGGGAGCGTGTACTTAGAATCAAGAGCAGAGCCGAGAAGGGAGAGCTTTGCAGTACATTTGCCCCAGGGAGGATGGTGGAAGTACCTTTTGTCTTCCCACCATCTGCAGGTTCTTTTGAATAAACCTCACCAAGCATTTCCTTTTTGTAGATCTCACTTTAAAGAAGGGCAAAGATGAAGCTTCTCCCACAGTGGAGAGATCCACTACCTCAGCCCACACAAATCCCTGCCTCAGTAGCTGTGGGGGTGCAGTTTAGCAGTTTTTTATTTCTATTTTACAGCACAGAGCTGACACCTTACAGCAGCTCTCCCTCGGCTGTGAGTCTGCATATGTTGTCCACGGTGATTGGCACGGCCGTGCGACCAATTTGATGTCGGGTTTTATGTCTGTCTTTTTTTTTTTTTTTAATCCCAAAGACCCGTCAGAAATGACACCTGTCGTCAGGACACGACAGGCAGATTTCTGCTGCTGCTCAGGCAGCAAATGCCCTTGGGAAATAAAAAAAAAAGATCCAGGAGTAAATTAATCATTGCTGATCGTTACTCTTTTTTGGCATCCGTGCACCACCACCAGAGGCGCCGCAGAGACAAGAGTGTAAAAATAAGTGCGGTCACGTGTGAAACCAGAACAAATAAACAAATAAAACAGAACAAATTCTCATTTGGCAATTACATAAACTGGACTTGTGCCCGCCCTAGAGGTTCCACCAAGGTACTGCAGGGATGCTGTGATCATTTAATCCATAGTTAGATTTTGTTTTTGTTTTTTTTTAGATTAACTGATTGAAAAAAGTTGAATATTCCACAGGAGGAGTGCCATTTTTGATCTCTAACTGACACAGGTGGGTGATAACGTCTGTACGATGAGCTGCCGGCTCCTGGTCCATTGTTTAGTGATGGAGGGCTGTTAAATTTGCCCTCATTCCTGAGTCTCACTGAGAGGGAAATAAATCATGCACAACCCTGAAATTTTTATTTTCTGCTAATATTCACACAAATGTCCACAGGAGGCGTTCCAGTGATGCAGCTTCACAGCGCCATCCATTGGCGATGCAGATTCCACTGACTGCGATGAGAAGGTGTCGGCCGGGATCAGACCTTCTCTGATCTTCGGGAGCTGTCAATCCTGCAGAACTCAGGTGTAAAGGAGGCGAGCCAGGAATATCTGCCCATTAAAAACCCAGGATGGAGTCCTGCTGTCTCCACCCCGCTGCTCTGATGTTCCACCAGGTTCCTGTTAAATCCACCAGAATGTTCCAAAGCCCTCAGGCCACGAAGTTACAGCCGCCGTCACAGGTTGATTTTGCTTTTTTTTTCCAAGTCAGTCAAAAGCCAAAAGGTTTCACTCCACTCTAAATAACACCACTGGATGTCGTCTTCATTTCTTCTTGACACACACCAGATAAAAATGTTGACATAAAAACATAACGCACAACAAGAAGCCAACAATTCTAAGTAACTGTAGAAATGTCTCCGTTTAACAAACCTCCGCTTTAATTAGTTCCAATGATTTTGCCAATTAAAGCTGATAATTACTTATCAAAACAGATAAATAAGGCAAGTCCTGGAGGTCTAATGTGTGGGTGGGAATTGACTGAACTCAACTATAATTTGGTCCCATGGGTTTCTGAGAAGACGTCGACATTCAGTCTTTATTGTTTATTTATGCCAGGAGTTTCTATTTTCTTCTGATTTCTTCATCAGCACCGTGAGAAAAGGAGACGAGCGACATAGACACCGTATGAACCATTAAAATTAGTTGGGTCAGAGGTGATGTAAATGTATGTATATGACTTCAGTCATCCTTACTGTGAACACATCCCACAGGGAAACAATGAAGCCAGATTTACTGTTCACATAACAATAATAACAATGCACAAAAGAATATACATATATATATATTTACATGTATATGTATATATGTATGTATATATATATACCCATATGTATGTTTGTATATATATACATATACATATACTGTACATATATAAATATATGTATATATGTATATACATATGTATTTATATACATACATATACATATATGCATACATATATAAATACATATATACATATACATATACATATACTTTACATATATAAATACATATATACATATATATAAAATCTAATTGTGACATTCCTACTAATTTTGAGCTACAGTTTTACTGAGCACGGTGGGATGGAAATGTTCACCATCTTCACCGTCTTTCTCCTAAAGTGCTAAAAATATAATAGAGACCATGAATCAGGACTGTCATCAGAGACCTGCTGCTGTCTGTTGGTCATAAAGTGATATTTGCACAGGCTGCTGAAAAAAAAGAAGAAAAAAAAACACCTCCTTTTTAAATATTTGCCGACGCCTTAGTGGGTATTTTGATGTGAGATTTGAGCGGCACTGATATCATGTCAAAAAGATTCCCGACCACATCCTCTGTTTTACTTCCAATTGAAGAGATAAAAATGTCTTCTCCCATTTAAACACGTTCATGCAGATCCATGATCCAATCTCCCGTTCCCGCTCTCAAAAGGCCTGCTTTAAAATTAACACATCTCAGTACGTTCATGTGGCGCCAGACACAATATCAAAGAGGGATTTGTTCCTGCAAATAGAGACAATGGTTGAGCGCTGACAACCGTGAACCTCGCTTGATGTGGTTTCACTATTACATTTTTTTTTTTTAAATTGCTTTGGAGAATACAATTCTCACCTTTGGTTTCAAAACAGAGGAATGAAACTGAGAAATGCATTTGATATGTGTGAATGAAACGCTAAATGAAAAAACAAAAGTAACAATGTTAATAGAGAAAAACTAATGCAGTTCTACACAGTACGCCACCTCTGGACAAAGAAGAGAAACTTCCTTAATGTTTTTTAATTTAATTTAATTTTAATTTAATTGCACCTTTTGATTCTTCCATGCATGACAACATCATTAAATTCACAGAACAGCCTTTTTATCATTTTTTTTTTTGGTCAGACCAAGATTTTCCCCTGATTTGCCAATTCGTAACTGTACAGAAGAGGGGGAGAAAAGGGGGAGACGGGGAAGGGAAAACAGAGGTGATTAGTAACAGAACATTCTAAATGACTTGCGTGACAAACCTGCTGCAGGTCTTCAGGTGTCTTCAAGATGTGTGAATAGGAATTATCTCCCTGACGTCAGGTCTGGGAACACGACACCTCTCAGCTGCGGTCTGTGCGTCTGTGTTGAGTTGATTCTTAAACATGTTCCAGAAAAAAAAGAAAGAACAGTTGACCATAAGCCTGTCCATTTGACTGTGTTTTTATGACTTAACATTATTTATTTATCAATTTAAAAGAAAACAGAAAGATATTTAACCCCCTTTCTTTCTGGTGGATTAGAAAAAAGAAAAACAGAAAGACATTTAACCCCCTTTCTTTCTGGTGGATTTAATTTATATTTTTAATTTTTATGTTTACATCATTTGAAGTTAACATGTGATGATCATGGCAGATATAAGTGGATTTTAGGGGGACACAAAAAAGTTCCTAATATTCTCTGAATCTTCTTCTGGTTCATCTTTTACAGTTTACTCAGTGTCTTTGATCTATATCTGTATCAACAGATCTCAACAACTTCTTTTTTCAGTTTTAATATCCAGTGTATGGACGTGGACGTCAAAATGTTGTCTTTCATTGGAGGTTTTCAGTTTAACCCACACTAATCTAGTATAATTCCAGTCACAGTTTTTCACATTGGAATGAGGAATTTTCAATTGTGGAAAGGAAGAAGTGGGAGGTCAGGGGCTTAACCAAAAAAAAAAAAAATCTGACTTTCTCCTGCGATTGATGAATTCATTCAAAGCCTGCTCAGGCTTTATAAATGGCCTCAGCCTGACAGGTAGACCAGGTGAAAGTCAAGACACGATGCATGCAATGATGACAGGTAACGCTCCGAGTCTTTATCGTGTTCTCACTGACCTTGTGTGTCGTGGTTTTCAGTTTCGTGTGAACGATTCATTCATGGCGTTTGTGTTTGTACATGTTTGTATTTGCCCTCAGTAAAACACACAGCAGCGTGGGCTCTTCTGCTGTGGCCCTGCTTGTTTACCGTGAGCGTCCCGCTGGACTGTAAGGACGAGCAGGTCAGCATCACTCGCTGCCCCTTCATCTCCCAGGAGAAACTTCTGGACAGAGTCATCCAGCACGCCGAGCTCATCTCCCGCATCTCAGAGGAAACCTGTTCTCTGTTTGTGAGTAAAAATCCAACAGTATCCTGGAATAAAGCACGATGATTACACACTAATATTAATTCAACTGATGCTGTGAGATCAATTATATATGAATAATTTGTTCTTTGGCATTTTTTTTGTATTATAATTTTCTTGTTGTGTTTGTTTGTTTGTATTCTAGGAAGAGATGTTTGTTCCTTTTCCACTGCGTCTCCAGAGGAACCAGGCGGGCTACACCTGCATCACCAAGGCCCTGCCCATCCCCAGCTCCAAGAGTGAAATCCAGCAAATATCTGTGAGTTTGGCTGCACGACAGCATCACATCCATACAGAAATACAGACAGCACAAAAATAATGTAGTTAGTACAAAGGGTTGGCCTGGTGTTAAATTTTACAAACCAATTATCGGAAGTACAAGTATTTTAATTTGGGTCTTTTATATATATATATATATATATATATATATACACATACATATACATGTATAAATATAAATATATAAATACGTATATATATATATATATGTATATATATATATATATACAGCGATGCAGTAATGCTTGTACAGTAGTTCTTGTAACGTATAAATGATATGCGTTTAAGTCGTGCAGATCTCTGATTGGTCGGATGTCTATAATATCACTGGTGAAAAGGAAAAAAAAAGTAATTTAAATAAAAATCCAGTGAAAATCTTAATAACTCTACATAACAATCCCCTGTGTGTTTTTATGAGGTCTTGGCTGATGTCCAGTCAGGTTAACACCATCGTAAGGCCGGGAAAATAAATGGAGCCAGAGGCCAATGAAGGGTGATTAGGTTAATGTGAAGTGTAATTTCTAAATGTGTCTTTGTTCAAACTTCCTGCTACAAATCACCGAGGAGAAGAGCTTTTCATTGATGGACTCGGCTTCATAATACTGCGACTCTTGGGTGAGAGCGCTGCCATCACCGTAACAGTAAAAGTAATATTTGTAAGTGCAAAAAAAAAACTGCACTGCTCTGCTGTATTTTACGAACAAATCGTTTTTGTTGAATTACAGCCTGCTTTGTTGTTAATAGGCTTTTTTATGGTCATTTGCTTCGAGGTTAAAAGTCTCCTCTGCCTCAGGGAATTTAAACAGACTGGATTTCTTTTTTTTTTTTTAAACCTGCTGAAGTTGTGTATCCTACGCCTCATTGATTAAAAGTTACACCGGTCTTGAGTTGGAAGCAGTTCTAAATGGTTTTCTAAATCCTTCCAAGTCTTTTTTTCAATACCATTGGTTTATAAAAGCGGAGAAGGGGTTCATGGGCGAACTCCACCTGACAACAACCGCTGACCGATGCAGTAACGGTGCACTTCACGGTTTCCAAACTTCTACTCCCGGTTGTCTGCAGGATACATGGCTGCTCCACTCTGTCCTGATGCTGGTCCAGTCCTGGATCGAGCCTCTGATCTACCTGCAGACCACGCTGGACCAGTACGACAACGCCCCAGTTATACTGCTCAACAAGACCAAGTGGGTGTCTGAGAAACTCATCAGTCTGGAGCAGGGCGTGGTCGTCCTCATCAAGAAGGTGGGTCTGATCAATCACAGGGTAGCTGTGAGGGCAAAAAAAAAAAGTTGAAGTCTCAGCGAATGCATGCTGGGCGTTGAGAAGGTATTTTAAGATTTAGTTGATGAAACAAAAACTGCAGTGTGTGTAAATATCAACCATTACAGGTCCACAATCTGGGTTTTTCTGTCCATATGTTTGGAAATGTGTTTAAAGATTTTAACCGATTTATTTTACAAATTAGTTACTGTGGCAAATGTTTTAATTTTAACAGTCTTTGGTTAATATCTTCACACGTCACTTATTCAAAATAATCTGAGAAAGTATTGAGGTATCATAATCAGATTACTACGTACCACATTTTACATATACAGTAGTATACATGATGATGTTGGGATTATAAATTTAATTGTCCCAAGTCCAACACAAGTCAAGTTTTAAATTTTTAAATGTGTTTTCTCTTCCTAATGTCGTGGTGCAGTTGTTGGACGAAGGAGCGCTGACCGCGTCCTTCAGCGAACAGAGCCTCTTCCAGTACGAACCTGCACCAGACCTGTTGGAATCGGTGATGAGAGACTATATCCTGCTCAGCTGCTTCAAGAAGGACACCCACAAGATGGAGATTTTCCTCAAACTCCTCAAGTGTCGGCAAACCGACAAGTACAACTGTGCATAAACAGTCCAGTCGCCGCTGAATAAAAGCACGTTTAGCTTTAAACTGAATTCCGAGCTCTCGTAGATAGGACGGTGCCCCGGGCGATCAGCCCTGCTTGCAAATGCAGTACATTCTTTATTGATTATTTTGGAACACCTTCAAACAGAACTAAGTAGGTGTAATACAGTGCCTTTTCTTCATCACACTGAATTTTTATGTTCCCCATTTCAGTTGTTGTTTTAACCCCACAAGGGCGAGAGAGGTCAAACTCACAAAAGACCGTTTGCATATTGAGCTGTCAAAAAAAAAAAAGCATATCCTGCCATTGATTTCCATTTCCTTTGTTCCTTAGTGAAGTTTGAATTCCTCGCCGACTCTCGCAGTGTTTTGATTATTCCTGCGGCCCCTTGGGTGTACGCTGAGACTCTGTTTAAGCGGGAGTTGGGTTCACTTCTGCATCAGTGAAATAAAAGACTTTCACCGGAGCTGGAGTCAAACGGAGAGCAATGACTTACTTAAGAAACCAGACACAGAGTTGGAGACGTTAGAGAGAGACGGGAGGTGAAGTGAAGGAGAAAGTCTATCCAAGTTTCAGTTCACGTCCCGGGGAGTTCATTAGGAACGTAACAATTAAATTCAATTATTTATTTGTACCTCTGAGTTTAATTTAAAATGTCCTCGAGTGTTTAAAGATAAGGTTAAGTGTACTTTTTTGAAAACATGTAAAGTCCAACGCTTTTGAACTTAAAGTTGTAGTAAAAACCATTCACGGCAAATTTGATACGAACATGTTTTTGATTGGTTTGATCATTGACTGACTGATTGAGTGACTGTGTTTCTATCCCTTAACACTAGATGGCAGTAAAGCCCTGTCATGAAAAACATCTCCATCATTATCGTTTACATCTGCTACCCTGCATTTTATTGCATACTGTTGTAGAGAATCATAAAGCAGAGAGGAGAATGTTTTCATATCAAGAAATAAATAAATATTTAGATTTAATTAAGGCTTTAATTGAAAAAGAAAAGGAAAAAAAGTGCATACATACACTCATTTTAAAGAATTTACCATTTACTCTAATGTAGATGTTGTTGGGACTTTAAAGAACAAAACAGGGATATTTAATTCACACCACGAGGAACAGACAGTTTCTCTTTCTCACACACCAAAGGTTTCACTGGTGGCGTTGTCACGGTGCTATCTTCAGAACACGCCGCTCCCTTATCTCTGATCAGTAAAGTTAAATCTGCTGTGAGGTGGCCACAGCGGGTCTGGTGTCAGCACAGAGAGGTGGTGTCATGTCGTGTGGATGAATGTTGATGCAGGATGTGGTGGGGCTGGTGTCAGCAATGTCAGGTTCAACTTCCTGTGACCTAATCACTTCAGTACGGGGGCCCAGAGGAGATCAGGTCGCCCAGGTTCTTATCTCTGCGGGGGCTGCAGCTCTGCAGCCTTAACTTATTTAATGCATCTCTGACATTTTTTTTTTCTCCCTCTGGTGGTCGGTTACGAAACAATCACATCCTCACCGGTGATACAGGCTTGGAGGCCGTGCATGTTATTTATTGGATATTAGTATGAAAATTAAGAAGGTGATGGAGGGAGGGAGGGAGGGAAGGGGAAAGAAGGACATGTGGGTGAGGAGAGAGGGAGTGTGGGCCCCAAGTGATTTTACAGTCTGAATATTATGACCTGAGGAGAGGAAATCTACACTGCAGAGAAGTGGAGCAGAAAACAGCAAAGAGGGGAAAGAGGCAGGAAATGCTTGGAAAATTGACTGTGGGAGAAGAGATTTCAGGGGCAGTGATGTGATGGGTTTTTTTTTTTTTCTCGCTTCTATTGATGTGAAGTGTGTCAGTCAAACAGACAGGTGGCAGAGTGGAATTAAAAGGGGAGGGGGGGTAAACTGGGTGTGAGCAGTGCTCAGGGCAGTGTGACATGTAGAAACTCAGGAAGGATAGTGATGGAGAAAATGGATGCCTGGAGGGCAGTGACACAGCCCAAGGACCTGGACTGATAGGAAAACCAGGAAACTTTTAACTGCTTCAAACACCTCCTACACCAGGTGTCTGAAACCTGCCACACCAGAGGAGTCCCTTTTTTGATTGGAAATTAAATTTTGGCGCGAGCGGCAACAACATCTCAAACATTTGTAATGATGGCAGTACTACAGCAGTGTCCGTTTCCTGTTCCTGTTGTCTGCCGTTTGGGGTAATTAGTGTCATCACACACTGATCTCACTGGTATCACCTGGTGCCCTGGGTATATGTACCTTGTCTATATATATATATGAAGTACTGCAGTGCTTCATGAGTTTCAATACTACAGGTTTTTTAATGAAGTAAAGAAAAAGTAAGGTGTGGATAATTACATAACACGTTTTGGTGATTAAAATTTTACATCTTTTAAAATGATAAGACCAGTCTTAGAACTTTTTGACTGGATCTTTGGAACACGATTTCATCTCTTTTCTCTTGAGTAAATGTTTGTTCATTTATTTCCTCGACTTCACAGCTTTTCCTGATGCAGCCCTGTCTCTCTCCACCACTTCAAACCAGCGGCAGCTCCTCTGGGCCGTGAAACCAGAGCCCACCCGGCAGCCTGCGCTCAGAGGGTCTCACGCCACGGCGCTCACAGCTGACCACGTGTGCATCTGTGTATGGTAATGTGAGCATTAAGCCTGTCCGTTGCAGCGGTGATATATCCAAGCATTTACTCTCACCTCAGCTTCTGCCCCTCTCCCCAGATGAGGCGTCGCTGCGAGGCTCTGTGAAGATATGAGCCAGGGGTCAAAGGTCCCGGGGATGAAGGCGATTCTAACTGTTCCAATATGTTTAAAGATGTCAGTTTGTAACAGCGGCAGGCTCGTGTTTCATCAGTGTATATCTGAGACCAGGAAGTCTGGATGACAGCTAAGAACATTTCTCTGTTTTGATTTTACGTTTTTTTAACATTACATGTTGTTAATTAATGATTTCATTTAAGTAATTACTGACCATGATTATTTATACCCCAGTATTATGAGGTCTGTTTGTTCTTTACAGGGACTCAGATTTAGCAGTTTAAATAACTGTTTTCATGTTCCCTGGCATATTACTTAATTGTTACAATGGTAAATTAACATTTATCCAATTTATATATTTTTTAAGACCCATTTACATGTGCAGTGATGAAAAGTAATTTAATTTAGGCTGAAGACACAAACAACTAACCTTTTGACCATTCGTGCAATTTAGTCTTTTAAATTAAAAATGTTAATTTATCATGAAAAAAGAAGGAAGAAGGAAAGAAAAAACATTACTTTACAAAAAAAATGCCTCCTTTAAGGACGCAGGGCCAAACGGTGGTAGAGAGGGTTGTACTCTTGCCTTACAGGCAGGAGAACACCACTTCATGGTTTGATTCCCAGTCTTTTTGTATGTAGTTCTATGTATTTTCTCCCTATTTGTTCAGGTTCTTCTTCCTGAAGTTATTTTTTTACTTTTTTTTTCATTCCACATTACTTTTATTGAAAATAAACTAGTTTCTGTGCCTGGCTGTCGATTGGCGCTGCCTGGACAAGGCGGTAGCTGATAGGCTTAGCGACCTGTCAATCAAACTGCTGACTCGAAGCTACCAAACACAGTTTAGCTTTTGAAATCGTAGAGCGCGGAGTTGTTTTTTGATACTGTGTAGTGTGTAGTGTGTCGAAAAAAACCGAAAAAGAAGACGCCACGTTTTGGCTTTGACCGGTGGTTGAAGATTGTAAACCGGCATTCTGTGTTAAAACCGCTTTTCTGTCGGACATGGCCGTGAATCGGATGGGAAACGACAGGAAGTACGTGAGTCTCACACAGGAAGTACACAACAACAACAACAAAAAACATCCAAAAGTGTGCAGCGAGTTTTTCCTGCAAATCAAATGAAAATGAGTTGGATAGAATTACAGTAGTAGAAGTTACCAGTGTGCAGTACAGTATGAACATTCATATCGGTTAACTGACTACAGGAAATCTTAAATCTCAAGAAAGATTCGGGCCAGGGCCTACTCTGAACCTACTGTAGCTGTACGAAGTTCTACAACGATGTGGAATATATATGTGAGTATATAGCCAAGCCAGTGAGTCTTGTTGTAGCCTACGTTTTAACATTCGGTTGCTTTTCTGCTACCAATGTGTTTCAGAAACGCGCTATTCATAATGTCGAGAAAGGCTTTTGGCCTGCCACCTGCTGGCGGTGGAGTATTTCTATTTTCATGTTTTGGTCACAGATGACCATATAATCCACAGAAGTTGTTGCTTTAAATGGTTTTAAATATTTTGTTGTGCCTTGTTTTATGTTAAATGTGGAAAATGTAAGATAATGCATTGATGAATATGTTACATTGCAAAATACGTGTGTTTTTCAGGTTTAGGTCTTGGGTTCTGTAGAGTTATTGTTTTTTTGTGGGGGTTAAAGGAGAGATACGTGCATCCCTCATTGTCCCAGACCAACCTCCTACCTGTCCAGACATTTTGTCGGTTTTGGAGGTGGTCACCTCTACATACGACCGATGAAGTCGATTGACTCCGGCCTCCGCCCCCACGACCCTGAGAAGTGAGTGTGTCTGTGTCTGTTACTGTTAAAATCAGTTCACGAGGGAAGATTTGTGTTCCCCTCAATTTTATGGCTTTTCTCAGTTACAGAACCCACATGTGGTACAAACACATAAACAGAAGACGCCTCAACATGTGGTTAGCAGTGATACTGGGACACGGCGGTTGTGGAGAATCCCACCACAACAGGGTTTGTCTCTGACACTAGTTTGTGCTTGTTGAACATGTGCTAATTGTGTGATTTACACCAACAGGAAATGAGGTGATTATCTTCGAGATGGGCGGGGGTGGAGGGGGGGGGGTAGACAGCTGATGCTGTCTGGCTGCGAATGAGGGGAGGGACCACCATCAACGCTTACGTACTGGAGACCGGGTCAGGAGTAAACATTTGTAGTTTGTCTGTCTTTAAGTCTTAATTTACATACAGATTTTCACCAACTTTAAATGGCACTTAAAGTTCAGATTTATCCATTTTAACAGTTTAGAACCAGACAAAAAGCTGCTGATTACTTTTAATTGTGTAACAACAACAGGTTGTTGGTGTTAACTTTCCTGTTTCTGCTCAGTGGTAATGTTGAAAACAAAAATCTAAGCTGGAAATCAGCTGCGAGGCAAACTGTGTAGGAAGGAAATAATAAAAGTACGGTGGTCTGAAAACAAAAGTGAAGCTAAATCAATCTATATTCACATTTTCAAAACAAAACAAACACCCAGGTCATGTTTTGGTCAATTTATATATATATATCACATCTCCCGCTGAACCATTAGGCCTCATAAATATTGATGCAGCTTTTAAAGTTGGCCAAAAGGTTCAGGCAACTGAAGAACAGAAAAACTCATGTCATTCTTCACATTTCTTTGATAAATTAAAATTATTTTCCATTTGGCCGTTTGTCAAATATTGAAAAAATACCTTTTTAGCCACAGGCTGTGAAAGTGACTTGTGTTCTGGATCGAACCAACCAAGGCTGATGTTTAAAACTGCCATGTTTACTCACTGTGGTCCCCTCCTCATACTCTACCCCCAAATTTGTGGCTTCCTCCCGTGCCCTCTGCAGCTGACCAACTGTTTATGTAGCTCTGAACCACTTTAAACAGACTGGCCGTGTGGTTGATTCCATTTTCGTGTAGTAGTTATAATAAAAAAAACTGTTTCAGTGACAATAATCAAAAAAAAAAAGAAAAAAAAAAGGATGAAAAAAAAAACTGTTTCAGTGACAATAATAAAAAAAAAAAGAGCAATAATGTGGATTAGAGCCAGAGACATGGGAGTTGAAATCCAACCGTACGTCTGATTAGGTCACAACATCAGCCTGAACGCTGCATCAGCGATTTTCCAGCTGCACAGTTTACCAGCTGAGTCTGACTGGAAAATAACGAGACAGATGTTTTTGACAGTGTAAAAAAAAAACAGATGACTTGGCCAGAACGGGCTGAGTCAGCACCTTTAGAACCAGTGCCGACGTTTACACGGTGAAGAGACAGTTCTTACATCATCACAGGAGAGTTGTTCATGGAAGACATGTTGTGATTTTAAAAGGGTGTGCGGTAGATTATATATATAAATATGTAAGAAACAAAACACTTGCACGGCTTATATAAGTTTTTTGTAAGTATTCATGTCAAGATTTTGTCTTTGCATTTGTCACTTGACACAGTTTGAATTCCTGTTTGTCAGACTGATTTGACAGTATAATTAGAAATTACAAATCTCTGATGTTCAAGGATAAAAATGTAAAACATTTACTCCGGTATTTGATCATTTATTTAATCTAAAATCAAAAACATTGGGAATACGGTAAAATTATCACTACTACCTTTAATACCACATTTGTTTGTGTGGGGAGGGGTAGCATGTGATACGCTACATTGTTTAGCATCATATGACATGCTAACATGCCAAATAGGATTATCCTTTGATGAAAACTATTTTTTTCAGTGTCTGTAGTATTTGAGAGAGTACTTTCTACTTTATTTTTTAATTATTACTGATCCTCAGTCACAGCAGGAGTTAATGTTCTACACTGTTTATTCCTTTTACAGATCACAGGGGTGCCAGGAGTCAATCCCAGAAGTTACAGTTGAGGCCAGGTTACAGTCTGGACTGTCACAGACCATAGACTACCACCGACCGTTATAGACCATCACAGACCATCAAAGACCATCACAGACCACCACAGACCATCACAGGTTCAAGTAAGTTTACACACAGCCGTTCATACTCCCGTTCAGATCTGTGGTTAATATTGAGTGACAGAGTCGATGTCCTTTTAACTCAGTGGTTCTTATGGGTTAGGGTTAGGTTAGGGTGTCGTGCCCCCCGCCCCCGCCCCCCACTCCTGGAAATACAATTGAGAACCTGATAACTGTATATTTTTATCTGCACAAACTGCTGTATGAGTTGCTGCCACCTAGTGACTGGAGGCTTTGTTTTCATTGAATTGACTTATGTACAGCGTGCTATGTTCCATTGGAAGCCCCCTCACCGTGCCCCGAGGGGGGGCACAGGAGGGACAGTGTTGTTGAAGTATGATATTCTGATCGTGAACCGACCAGACTAGGAGGTGTTGTCGTGATCAGCCCACAGTAATATTTCTTCTATTGTGTCTTACGCTCCTTCAAACCCCCCCTCCTGCCCCCCCGGTCCATTGTTCCAGCGCTGTGCTTAAATGCAGCTTCCTGGATTCCCTATCAGAGAGTTGAAGGACAACACTTCAACTCACTGCCAAGACACCTTATCTGTGCTTGGCAGCCACTGGACAGGATGGAGGAGTGAGGGTAAAGGCCACAGGATGTGAAGGGGAAAAATACAAAACAAAACAAAACAAAGCTTAGTGGAAATTATAGGAGTTGAAAAAAAAATCCTAGTCATTATCTCTGAATTAAATTAAAAAGTAGGACAAATTTCTCACTTTTTTTACTCAAAGTCCTGAGTGGACAGAACGGAGGAGCAGGTTCTTTATGATTCTCTCAACGGAGGAGCAGGTTCTTTATGATTCTAATGTCTGACTGATACTGTTGTTGTAAAGTTGGTTTGCTGTTGGCTGAACACGCTGGAGGTTTCAACATGGTTTCCTGTCTCTTAGCCGTGAATGAATGAGGATCTGCCACATCCTCCGTGAGTGGCAGTGGACACATCTGAGGGCCACCGTCCTCCCTTTTGCTTTTGTTTTAAGCCGTTTCAAGGCCACATGGCCGCCAAGTGCTGACTTTTAAAAGACGAGACGTCTAATTAAAGGTACAACAACAATGTGCTGCTCGGCACTGGGCTGATTCACGGGTTCCTCTGCTGGAAACTGATAAGAACGGTTTATTTGACTTTCCAGTTCTTCTGTTGCCTTTTAATGTTGGTTTGTTTGTTTTTCGCTGCGTTCAGACAGCCGACCGTTACGTGACAATGAATTGATTTTGGGTCGTGCATGAGACCCGAGGTTCACACTTGTGGTCCGAGCTAAAAAAAAATCGAATTGATTGTGTGTGTTTTTGTGTCTCTTTGTGTGTGTGCGTTCCATGGACGGATGTCGTAAATGAGGTGAAACACTTGTGACGTCTATAGGCTGTTGTCAGGATTTTTTTTAGAGTGTGGTAAAGAGTTTTATTGATTTAGTTTTCATTTTGTCCAGTGGCTTGGACTGTGTCAAATGGTCAGAGCTCCATCGTGTACGTGTCATAACCAATGATGTGCAGTGTTTGAGACAGTTTCTGAAACATATTCCTTCAGTTAATGTGCAATTATGTGTGTATGCATTATCACACACACTTCTGATTTGTGTTGTATATAATATATTTGTTCCCGTTTCTTAAAACACATCAGACGGAACATTTAATTTGAACTGCAGTTCTCGATTAGAGCCACTGGAGGTCAGTCCTGTTCCTTAAAATGTTTTTCATTTTCAGTGAAAAAACATTAGAGGTTTTAAAGTGAGACTGTTTTGTTGTTGACTTGGCTTTTTCATTTTTTTTTTTTAAATTTAGATTTAGATTTAAATGTTGTGAATTATTTTTTTTAATTTAGATTTAGATTTAAATGTTGTGAACATGTGATTGTTGTCAAATCTCCTACGGCAAGAACTGATTAAAGTAAATAAATTTGGAAAACTGCCATGATTAGTATGTTAGGTGTCAGACAGGTGTACAGTAAATACAGATTGTTCAGTTAAAACAGAAACGCTGTTTTCTGACCTCTGGATGTAGCTTGTATAGATGTGAGTAAATGTCTTTTCTCGTTCAGATAGAAATAAAAACTTTGTACGACAGTAAAATCAATGCAGCTGAAGATCCTGCAGATTCTAACAAACCACAAGCAGGAGTTTAAAAAAATGGAGCAAATACTGGAAGGAATGTTTCACTTACAGATTCCTAGAAAGTACACATGCTGTCAAATAAAATGTCTGTCTTCTTTTCAACATCCTTTCATCTTTCTTTCTTCCTTTCATTCATAACTCCTTTCCTACAGTTTTACCTTTTTTTTCTTTTTTCCCCAGTGTTTCTTTTTACCTTCCATGATCCTTTTTGAACATTTCTTTATTTTTTCCTTACTACTATTCCTCCTTCCATCCTTCCTCCCTTTTTTGCTTCCTTTCCTGTCATTCCAACCCCCCCACCCTCATTTTTGCTTTCCATACTTACCTTTCATCATTTCCTCCTTTGGCACTTCGTTCTTTCCTTTTTCTTCCAATCCTTTCTTCTTTCCTTCCTTCCTTCCCTCATTCCTTCCTTTCCTTCCTTCCTTCCTTCCTTCCTCAATCCTCATTCTCCTACCTGCACTCCCTCAGTCCTTGTTTCATTTCTTTCGTATCACTTTTCTGTCCTTCTTTCACGTTGTGTTTTCATTTCCTTCCTTCAACACTACCATCACACCTACACACACACACTCATGCACACACACACACACACAGATTGAGTGGGACCTCGTGCAGACTCGACCATAACAGTGGCCTGTTGTTTAGGGCAGGGTGAGCTCTGTGTCGGACCACTCCCTGAGTCTAATCGCCTCAGAGTTCTTTCCAAATTACAATTACTGATAAACAGAGTTGGCTGATGGGAACAAGTGATTGCAGAGGCCATAGAGGGCAGTATCTGGCATCACCCTAATTGTCTCAAACAATCTGCCTCATTTCGTTCCCCCTGCTACTAGAGAGTGATTGCCCTGAACACACTTGAGGGGCAAAGCATTTCTGACTGCGCTCATTTGGGACCACTTTGAAGTGTTCTCCAGTGTTTCTGGAGAAAAATGTTCCATTCCTCAACTGCCAGTATTTTGGGATTGTCTCTAAACAGTTGTTTTAGTCTTTGGTGATAAACAGCTACCGCTAGAATTTGTTTTGATTAGACATCGGCCATGGAGAGAAACTCTTTCAGTTTTACTATTTCATTATTTTGTGTTTGATGTTACTTTCCCCAGATGCTGATAACTTGTGTTCTCTAACCAACGGTTCTCCTCCTAATGAATTATTCCACATGTTGTAGCTGCCATGGAAAACCACAGTGCAACAGTTGCAGGCCTCTTAGATCAGGTACCTCTCCTGCTTATGGGCACGTTGTCATTACTCAAGAATGTTCCCAAATAAACCATGCTAGGCTAAACCAGCAACCTTCCCGTCGCAAACCTATTTGGCATCTTTTACATCACCACGATCCCTCTCTTTGGAGTTATACGAGACCCGCAGTTGCCAAAGACCTCATTTGGCCCAGATGTGAACTGAAGCAAATGTGTTGAACAGAACTCATACAGTACAGTAGGTCTCAGAAAGTCAGCAGAGAATCGGGTCTCTGGCTGGACCAGGGAGTCAGGATTAAAACCAGAAAACCACTCAGAATTATGTGTTATATATATCATCACAGACTGACCAGTGACGTTAGCCTGTTAGCTAAACTATTGTTGTTGTTGTTGTTTAGCGTGTTAGCTAAACTATTGTTGTTGTTTAGCCTGTTATCTAAACTATTGTTGTCATTGTTTACCCTGTTAGCTAAACTATTGTTGTTGTTTTTTACCCTGTTAGCTAAACTATTGTTGTTGTTGTTGTTTAGCCTGTTAGCTAAACTAAATTGCTCAAATACCGCTCACAAACTGCTGCCAAGTCTCGCGTGACAAAAACAAGTAACCTGTCCAGCACGAACGAGTCCCAAACCAACCAACCACCTCACAATGAAGAGAGCTAACTGTAACTGTAACTTACACCTTGTGGTTTCATAGTGTAGCGGTTAGCACGTCTGCCTTAAAGCAAGAAGTGCTGGGTTTGATTCTCAGAAGAGCCACTTATCCCTACTGGTGTCTCCAGTAGCAGTAAATTTCCCCACAGTGGGACGAATAAGGGACTTAATTATTATTAATAAGGTGTCTCGTTTTTATTATTGTACCACCCGAGGGATTAATAAAATGCTATCTATCTATCGACAAAGTCCTAGTATTTAAACCACTCTCCCTGTCTCTGTGACACTCTGGGGTTTACCTGGGTTTAAAAAAAAAAAAAAAAAACATGTTTTCAAGAGAATGTACAGAAAACAGGCTTCCTAGAACAGACTTGGCAACCGTGCTCACAAACTTTCAGTTTGACTCATATAAGGTAGCTGTAACCTTTAGCCCTACAACAGAAAAGTCTTGTTTTGAACCGTACACTCTCTGTGTGTGTGTGTGTAGATGAAGAACAGGTGAAAGGCATCACAGAGAGGAAGCTGTAACCTTGTCCTCTCCTCACTCCTCCATGTGTTCACTCCCTGGTATGGCTTAAAACCTTCCTCAGCAGAAAGCAGGAAATGACCCAACTTGTGCAGGAAGTGCTGCAAGGTGACCAGTAGCAGTTTACGGTGAGGCGAGCGCGGCAGGCTCTTATTGATATATGTGCACACTCTCATGCGTGTGGCAGATGGAGAGGTTTTGGTTTGTGCTGGCCCGGCTCTGGCCCTGGTACACCACTGTTTCAGCAGTTTGGGGCAGGAAACAGCTGTAGAAAGTGAAGCAGAGGTAACAGTCAGCACGCAGCCGTTTGAGGGCTACACTGCACTGCAGCCAATATCAATCAAACTGCGCGGAGCTGGGCTTTCACAGAGCCCAAAAACCACATCATGTTAGCACATTCACACCGACTCCGACTCCAGCTCACTGTCAGTCGCGCTGGAAAATATGTGACCACCCCGATGTAGGTGGATCCTGATTATAGATCTGCTCATGGCTTCCAGAGGCACTCTTGAATCCA